CTACCCCCTTGCCACTCAGGCAACAATCAGTCACTTTCATCTAAGAATAGAATAAATTACTTAATGATCTTGGAACACAACAAGGATGATGACCTGGTTCCAGAAAAGGGAAGTGTTTTGTATGACCACTAGATTCCCAGGTAAGTGGCAGTCAAAGAAAGAAACCTTGAACTATCATTTCCTGAGATTAAGTGTTTAAAAGCTTGTCATGGATGATTTCAAATACTGGCATTTAATCCTGGAATTTCAAGCCATTGCCTGTGGAAGCAAGAGAGAGCTCTATAGAGTATAGATATATAAATGCCGTTAGCAGACATCTGTTGACTAGTAACTGGTATCCAAATAGTGAAAACAAGCTTCAGAATGGGAACTGGGAGGATACAGTCTTTCTGTGTATAACAGCAGCATTAATAATACTATCACAGCCAATGTCTCGATACTAGTGACAAGATTATTAATGTAAACATCAGATAATGAGTACTGGTTATATTTTTGAGTGCATTACATTTTTATGACTTACAGCTTTGTGGCATTCCCACCCCCTTTATGATCCAGAAATCTCTCTTCTGTCTACTGTACAATGCCAGTAGCTGACATAGGGATGCACGACTGGATAGCAGCTGACATCCTTCATAATGCCATATTGTATAAATGCCAGCTTCTCACTGTCAAAGGAGAAATCTTTTTCTTTGTTTGCCTTTCCCCTACCCCCCTACCAAGTATGTAATAGATTTTTATGCTGAATAAAAACTCCTGGATGTGAATTTAGTGCACAGTGGTCATGACTAAAGTGGATACAGAATATACAGTGAGCGATTTGTTCTCTCCTGAGTATTCTGACCTATCTTAATATGTGTCTTTTTCTCCACAAAATAACCTCTAGAGCTCATACTGGCCTCTCTGTTTCTTTCCAGGAGGGTCAGCCTATTTACATGGCAGTGAAAGGAGTGGTTTTTGATGTTAGTTCTGCAAAAGGTGAGAGTTGATTTCTCCTTAGGGTTTCTTCCCCCTTTTTTTCTCCTCAGTTATCCTGTCATTGTTCTTAAATGTAGCAGACTATTAGAGAAATTCAGATTCGGTTTAACAGCATGACTGTTTTCTTCCTCATTCCTTCTCCGACACCTTCCCCACACTGAGACGATGTGTAAGCTGCAGTCAGCTGTCTAATGGCATCCAAGTTAACTTTAACTAGCTTGGGTACTGACAGAGTAAAGTCACACACACCCCTGTACCTAATTTCTGAGCTCAGTCCAGAGTCCACTGAAGTCGATGGAAGAATTACCTCTTGCTTCAATGAGCTTTGATTTACAGCCCAAACTGTTTCCTTCTCATTTATAAAATTCACTTTTTCTTGAGGCTTTTTTTATGTCTCAGCAGTCACTTTGGAACCTGATGTTATCCTACGTCCTAGCTGTGCCTTCGCTAGGCCAAATTCCAATCCTAGTGAAGATTATAATATACATTAAGTCTGTCTGAATTAGTGAACGTAGCCTCTAGGGATTGGGAGCAGAGGGAGTATGATGTGGGGGGGCCAGTGACATGCTGGTGCCCTGCCCCTGCCCATTCTGTTGCCCCTCACTGACAAGCCGCGCCCCCCATCCCTGCTGCTGCCCCTCACTCCAGACGCACTGACCCCAGCCCTGCCAGTGCCCCTCACTCCCAAACAGCAGTACCCTGCTCCCCCCACTCCCTGCAGCCCTCTGCCACCCAGCCCTGCTGGTGCCCCTTACTCCCAACCTGCAGGCCCCTGGCGCTGCCAGTGCACAGCGCACCCAACCCAGTGTCACCCATTGTGTTCCCCATGCCCCTCACTCCTGATCTGCAGCTCTCTGCCTCCCTCCCAGCCCTGGTGGTGCCCCTCTCACCGAGCCCACAGTCTCTGCTCCCCCCAGCCCTGCTGGTGCCCCTCACTCCTGACACACAGCCCATGCCCTCCAGCCCTGCCAGTGTCCTGCACTCTGAATCTGCAGCCTCTGCCCCCCCAGCCCTACTGGTACCCCTCACTCCCGACCCACAGACCCCTGCCCTCCCAGCCCTGCTGCCCAAGCAGCTCCTGCATTGCGCGCATGCAGGCTCACACACATGCACTCTCTCTTTCTCTGTCTCTCACCTGGGAGCTTGCCGGAGCCCGCACAAGGAGCACGTGACCCTCGACAGCCAATCACATTGCCCACTGCTGCCACCCCCAGGCAGCCAGCCCGGGAGAGCAGAAAACCCAGACATTTACTCTTACTTTAAAAACCTGCCTGAATGCAGCACAGGGGGCCAAAAAAAGAGGACACGTCTGGGAAAACCCAGACTTCTGGTAACCCTGAGTATGCCGGTCACTTCTGGACTTCCGGTCCAGCAGCCAACCCACCATGGCCCGGGGGTTGGGAACCTCTGATCTAACCTAGGGTTTTACAGGAGATAGTTAACATGCATTAGTTACATTGGGTAAAAGACGCACCTTCTTTGGAATTAAGATAAAGCCTGATTTAGATTGTGTCTGTGTTATGTTTTCTTTACCTAGTTAGCTGATTTGCTGGTTAACTTGAGGTAATTAACACATTTATTAAGGTCACTTTGGAAACCTCCTGAACATTTATGCCAGAATACAAACATACAGCCATTTGTTACTTACCCTAGACTGAGCCCTAGCCTAGATAAGCTCTGGTCATGATGGCACTGCTCACTTACCATGCCATTCTGCATCGTGCTTCTGACTAGGGAGGTAGTGCAGATGGAGCAGTATATTTTCAACCCAGCACAGACTGGCACAGTAAAGGAGACACAGAAATGCCATCTCAGGACTTGTCTAGATTGCAGTCTAAAAGGTATTCACGGTTTCATGTAAAGAGCCTAGTGTAGGAATGTTTTACTCAACCAGTGATAAAAGCACCCTATCTTGTCTACTCAAGGCTTGTTAACACATTAGCTAACAAATACAAGCTGATTAACCCTAATATACACAAGACATTAGACTATAAATTCTTGAGTATGGAACCTCTCTTTTTTAAGAATATGGAGCACAGCTCTAAATATTAAATGGTCAGAGGACAATACTAGGTATGAATTAGCTCACATGAAGAGTTTTAACAATGCAGTTTCTGTGTCCAGTATGGTGCAGTTAGAGGGCAGCCTAAATGTTTGTTTGGAGATTTCAACAAAATTTGGGAAGGAAAAGGCTCAGATATGAGCATGGGTGGATCTAGGAGAGGAATGAGGGGTAGTGCAGCAAGACCCTAGCATGGGCTCCTACCAAAGCACTGCCTGTGCCTGTTTGCCAGCTGGCCAGCATGGGCTCTTGCTAAAGTCACTGTTTTCACATGGCTCTGGAGCCCAGGGGGCGAACACCACTTCCATTTGTCCCCTGCATCTCCTTCCTCATGCCAAATTCAGGCAACGGAAAAGGTGGGGTGAATGGCAGTAACGCTTACCTGCTGGGCTCCAGAGGTATGTGAAAGCCATGGCTCTGGAAGAACCCATGCCAACTAGCTAGTGAACTCTAGAGAGCTCACTGTGCATGTAAAGTCAAAGGGGCATATGAATGCAACCCTGCCTCCATATCTGCCCTGGATGCGAATTGTTGGTTTTGGCTCATGCAGAAGTATAATGGGCTAAAGGCATGCTGCTGTAAGCCAGCACAGAATGTGGCCCAGTGTCATCATTATTCATAGTCTGAGCAATACTAGATTTCTTCTTTTCCTTGAACAGAATTTTATGGAAAAGGTGCCCCATACAATGCCTTGGTTGGAAAGGACTCAACACGAGGAGTTGCAAAGATGTCACTTGATCTGGCAGATCTAACTCATGACACAGTAAGAAACAGGCTTGTCCGTCTTACTCCTTCTTTGCAGTTTCACTTTTTTTTACTTGATTTCACTGAAATATATTTTGGTGCTCCATAGTTATGCTGGACTTAATGCCTTGCATAAAACAGATGTTTATTTTCTTGGAAACAGTGTAATATTTAATTACTTTCTGCTGAGATTATTCAAGACCCCTTCTCTTATGCAGATTTCCACATTGTAGCTTATCAAGTCCTTTGATTTTACTTACTTTTTAAATATGGCATAAATATGCATGTATATTTTTTTGCATTTTTGTCATTGTCCATATTTCACGTAGACAGGACTCACAGAAGAGGAGCTAAAGTCCCTGGATGAGATCTTCAATAATGTTTACAAAGCCAAGTATCCTATTGTTGGCTACACTGCTCGAAGAATTCTGAATGAGGATGGCAGTCCCAATCTGAACTTCAGGCCTGAGGATCAACCACATTTCAGCATTAAAGATGAGTTTTGATATATGATTTAGCGTCCCCAAAAGCCCTTGATAGTCACTGTAAAACACCAGCTTTCCTCAAAAGGAAGAACACTTCTTAGGAATTGCATATGTATATATTTTTTATCATTTTTTTAAATTGCAATCCTCTGGATGTTGACAGCTTTACTACTGTAGTGAATTCCTCCAAGCAGTGAACCAAATAAAATTATATCAGTGGCACATAGTTGTACTATTTACTGTGGACTGCAGGATTATTTCAATAAATTTTTCCACTGCCAGTGTCTTTATTTCTCTCTCTCTTAATAAAAATAAACAAGAAAATTAAAAGTACATCCCAACCCTTAAAGGGGAGAAAATGTAACAGCTAAACAAAAGACTGGGGTGTCTGCAATTCCTGAGTTCTATTTCTTATTCTGCTATAAAGTTACCGTGTTAACCAAGTCTCTCACTTCACTTCTCTAAGTCTGTTTGTCTCTGTAAAATAGGATTCCCCTCCCTTAGTAAGGTTGCAACTGTTAAATCTGTTAAATCTGTTCTCCCTTCAACTTTATACATTCCCTTTTTAACATTCACTAATAAAGTTAAATTTGTTGACTTTGAAGACCTTTGGATACAAAACTGCTGACTTCCCAAAAATATATTTATTAAATAAATTTTATTTGCTGTATTTGTGCAAAAGCTGAAAGATATAGAGCAAAGAAAGCCTACATTTTTCCCAGGGAATACTGACATATTTAAGACTGTTATTGCAATTTCAAGATAATGAAGAACTTTTTTTTTTTTTAATAATACATTCATTTTTTAGGTTAAGTCATGATGATTCTCTTCATAACCTCTACTTTGTTAGTCCTGCAAAACGGGAGTTATTATTTAGAATATATTTTTAACCTATAGTCTTTATTCACATACTGGTAAGTGCAAGTTTATTTCAGTATAACCTGAATATTTCTGGCGTCTTTGTATTGTCAAATAAACTATTTGCCATAACTGGCACTTTCTCATCTTTAATTCCCCCTCAGGTGTTCTCTGTGATTACTGCATTTCTTGACTTCATCATTACCACTGCAATTCCCTTGAGGTGACTGTGTTCAATTTCTGTTTAACCTAATATACAACGCCAGATCCTTCTGGCTGAAAACAAGTCCTCCCCTCTGTCAGATTTCTTTTGGAAGTCTATCAGACTGCCCTTAATTTACATCACACCAGAGGCACCAAGAGCTTGTGCTATACAAATTGCTGGTAATCATTGACTTCCATTAACTGAAGTATGATCTGAATTGTCATTTATGAGAATTTACCTGCCATTGTAACAGGTTAAAACAGCGCTGAAAAACTGAGCAGTTGCTTCAAATTTCTCAAAGATTACATTACATTAACCTCCTGGGTGCTTTCCTTCAAAGAGTAAATTATTAGATTGCTTATTCTCCTTCTCATGGGAGAGGGGTATAATTATCTGTTGACAGAATAAACTGCCCTGGTTGCCCCTTATTTCTTTCATATTTACAGTAAATTATGCCTCATAGCCACTGAGAAGTGAAATTTAGCAATTAAAGCCAAGGACCCTGGGATTTTATTCCTAACTTTGCCACAGAGTTTGTATATGCCCCTCTGCACTTTGGGTTACCTGTGACATTTAACTACATCAAAAATGTTTTGTAAATGTAAGCAGCTGTAAATGCAGTATTTATAAAGCTAGGCACTGAATAAAGTTGGTGAAAAACGTCAGTTTTTTCTGGATTTCTCCCCAATATTTTTAAGATGAAAAATTCCTGGGTTTTTGTTTGCTTTTTAAAAGCATGACACTTACTTGGTTAATTCTGGATTTTGAAAACTCTATTTTTAGTTTCCTTTGAAACACAGAAAACTTTGGGTAAAATTGAAGTTTTCTAAATGCTTTTATGGACAAAAAATCAATTTCTACAAAAAGAAACTGATGGAAAAAAATGTCAATTGGCTGTAGAAGAAAGCTGCATCAGCATGATGGTTGCTGTATAAATATGAAATATATAGCTTACAGTCTGATGCAGGTGGGTATGATAATCAGGTTGAATATTCAGTGCCAAAATGCACATAATCATTGAAAGATTTACTGACAGAACTGCATTTTAAGGAATTATTGCATTCAAGAAATGAGTGTCTAAGTGTAAGAGGTGGTGAAAAAATGATAGAATAGAATACAAGAAAAAGAAAAATAGCAATGGAGGAAAATACAAGAGCACAGCTTCTCTATTATTTCCTTCTTTTCCAAGCTTGCTGCAGCACAGCACTCTGCTTCCAGGTGTGTGCTGCTATGACTGTTTGCAGTTATTTTACTATGACTTCATCTTAGATCATTAGTTTTACCATGTCGAACTTTGCATGTGGAAAATTTCACAATGGCTGAACAAAGTTCTTTTCTCCTTGCTGCCGCCTGCCTGTTCAGAAGTCCTTAGCTTTCCATACTACTTCCAATGAGTTGGCCTAACACTACAAACAGAGGCAGTCCACATGATGGCTTTCCTTTGTGACTCTACTGCCTCTCACCTCCAAACAAGCTGTGTCCTATGCAGAAGCAAAGCTGTTATCTGGGTGTGCTTGCAGCTGTATAGGGAGAAATTTCAGAAGTGAGCCAGAGTTCATCTCTAATCTGTATTAACTTTCAGATGGATTTTAATGTGGAACGCTGGGTTGCAGGGAGTGGTGCTGTCAAGTAGCTGTTTCTCCCCAGCACTGCAGAGCTCCAGCCCCTGGATTCTCAGAGCAGGGGCTTACCTGAGAGATGAGGGTGGTGCCTAGAGGTAGCAGTCTCTTCATTTCCTTTGTGGGATATTGCACACAAGGGCGGTCTTCTACTCTGGTGTGTGGAGTGAGATGCTCTAGCCCAGAGGCAGGCAACCTTTTCTGGCTGCAGGTCAGAATGACCTACCCCAGGTCAAAGGTGGATGGGTGAGTGCTAAGACCCTGGTGCTGCTGCCTGTTATCTCCTCAGCTGCATGGGCAGAGCACCCATAGCCTGTGTTTATCCCTGTGGCAGCATGGGAAGAGTGCCCACAGCTAGTATTTGTTCCTGTGGGGGCACGGGGAGAGCACCTGCAGAAAATGCTCCCTGCTTCCGAATGCCACTGAAGCTCTGTGTCTGCAGGCCAGATTCAAAGGGTCTGTGGGCTGTAGACTGCCAACCCCCGCTCTAGCCTCTTTCAAAAGAAGGCTTCCCTTAGTTTTGTGACATTATATAAAGTTAATGACACTTTATATTCCCCAAAGGTAGTGAATTTAATAAAAGCAACTGTTTTCATAATATATTTCCTTTCCTGTTTGTATTTGCAAAATTGAACAATGAAGTTGGCCAACCATTCCAAAACGTTTTAGGGTGCAACCTCACTCAGGGCTCAAAATTTGGCCTCCGGTCAGCTCACAATCCCATTCAAAAGGGTCATAACCCCACGTGGGGTTGTAACATCTACTTTGTAGGAGCACTGGACTGGTCACTCGCACTTCCTGTTTAATCATTTTCTCATCAAGTTTCCATTCCTATTCCTAGGCACTAGCACAACATTGCAATACTTAGGCTGAAAACAGGACCAGGGAATCAGTATTTCCATAGGAAACTTAATGCTCACTGCCCTTTTTAATAAAGAAAGGCCACAGAGATATTTTTATTTACCACGTGCTTTTTAAAGATTTCTTTTTTTCTTTACCGAAAACTCAGCTTACCTACTCAGAAGGGTGTGTGATCGCCTCAGAAACATTTTATTATTCTCCCAGTGTTTCCTAGAGTACTGGATGTCATTCCCCTTTCATTTTGCCATTATTCCAAATGAGAAACTGAAGCACAGAGTGGTAAAGTGCTCCGCTCCAGGTTACAGAGAGGCTATCTTAGAGCTAGGAACAGAGCCCTTATCTCCTAAGTCCCACTCAAATGAATTCACCTCTGGATGTAGCTCTTCAAAACAGTCAAGTCATTCTTTGCTGCTGTGGTAAGGAAGGTGATAGGGAGTTGAATTTCATGCTGCTGTAAGACAAGAGCCCTGGAGACAAATGTGTCAGATAATGCTAAAAACATGTTGAAGTAATTTATGTTACCTAAAAATATCTTAGTTGTTACCACCGTTTTCTTCAGAATGGGTTACATTTCCCTGGGTATCATATCATTTCAATGAGATCAGTAATCTAAAATTTGCACTTAAACAAGCAAACTGTGAGAGGCCCATTACAGCCCTCCTACATATCCAGCAACTCCCTTAAGAGTGACTCCCTACGCCTAAAGAAGGGTGTTTGTGCCTGAAAGCTTGCAAAGAACATTTTTTCCAACTATTTAGTTGGTCTAATAAAAGATACCACATCTACCCAAAGAACCTTGTCTGCCTAGCGAATGATGAGCTCTTTGTAATCCACTTGCAGTTTCCAGATAACACTAAAAATGACTCCTTGTTCTTGGTTTGCTGCTTGTAATCTGCCTTTTGTTAACTTAACATGGGCCTCTGTGTGACTTGGGAAGGTTTTAATTAATTGCTGACAAGAACAAACCTACTTTATTCTTTAATAATGCTTTAAACTTCAGAACACAGAGAATTATTAGCCAGGGTCTCAAAGAACCTATTTCACTCTGGAGATGTGACAGGCAGGGGTGTCCCTAGTGGGGGGTGAATTGGGGCAACTGCCCTGGCTCCTGCAATTTGGGGGGACCCGCGGAGCCTTGTGGAGCAGCCATGGTGAGTCCATACTGCTGCCAGCTTCACGTCCAGCTGCTCGGCACCCCAGCCCGGTCGCCGAATCTGGCGCCTCTGGCCCCTCAGCACCCCCTTCCTCCTCACTGAATCTGCCGTTGGCTTCCTCATGTTTGGGGATGGGGCCCTGCACAGGCTGATTTGCCTCGGGCCCCACACCCTACTCACTCGGGTCACTTCTGGTGACAGGATTTATAGAAGGGGACTGCACTAGTAGAGTGGATTACATATGCTAGGCACATTAGGAGACTGAACAACTTCCACATGAGATTTCTCTGTAAGGTCTTGAAAATAAAGTGGGAAGACATAACACCAAACAAGTACTAGAGCACACAGGACCAGCACACTTAGAAACCACTATCAAGAAGAGGAGGTTGCAATGGATCAGCCATGTCAGGAAAATGGGAGGAGACTGTATCCCCAAGAATATTTTGTATAGTGAGATTTGAGATGGCTCTAGAAAGCAGGGTTGCCTTTTATGGCAGTACCATGATGTGTGCAAAAATTATACAAAGTTGTTCAACTTCAATGTAGAAAGCTGGGAGGAGTGTGCAGAACCCCGTCTGATCTGAAGG